CTGCAGAAGGTCAAGGACTGCAGCCATCAATGTGGATTGAAGCTGAACATCAAGAAAACAAAGATTCTCACCACTGGGTTGAATGACAGAATCATGACAGATGGTGAAGAGATTGAAATTATTAACAGCTTTAGTTGCTTGGCTCCACAATCGAGAATCTTGGTACCAGCAGCCAGGAAATCAAGAGACAAATTGGAAACGTCAGCCGTCGGGGACCTCTCCAGAGTACTGGACAGCAACAACGTCAGTGTGGAGTCTAAAGTGTGCCTGATCCAGGTCATAGTCTTCACGATTGCTTGCTATGCATAAGAGAATTGGACAATGACTGGGGATGATATAAAGAGAACTGATTCCTCTGAGCTGTGATGCTGGAGAAGAGTGTAGAATGTACCATGGTCTGCCAGGAGAATAAACAGGTTTGTCCTAGAGAGGGTGAAAGCAAGCTGTTCCTTGGAAGCAAGGATTCTGAGGCTTCAACTGACATACTTGGGCATGTTGCAAGGAGGGACCAGTCTTTGGAGAGAGGGACTTACGCTTGTAAGGGTGGAGGGACAGAGAAAGAAAAGGCGACCATTGATGAGATGGATTGATACAGTTACTGTGGTAATGAGGGTAGGTGTGTCAGAGACATAAAGTTGGCACAGGGTAGAACAAGTTTCAGGGTTGTACATAGGGTCAATATGAGTCGCATGCGACTCAATGGCACATAACAACAGCAACAATTAGGATTGGTATTTCTTTTGATTCACTTTAATAGTATAATAACTGCTCATTTTTTTGTCTTAAGCCATTTTTAATGTTTTCCCACCATAGACCCAATGGTTGTTATGTGCCATTGATCTGACTATGACTTATAGTGACCTCTCTAAATTATGATGTCGAACCTTGCCCTATCCTGAGCAAAGCTTACCATCTCTGACACACTTAATCCCATTACTACAGTTACTATGTCAGTCCATCTCATCAATGATCTTTATCTTGGGCTGACCATCCATCCATCTTTCCAAGCATGATATTCTTCTCCAAGGACTGGTTTCTGATAACATGCTCAAAGTTTGTAAGGTGGAGTTTCACCATCCCTGCCTCCAAGGAGCCCCTAGGTTTCACTTTATGCAGGACAGACCTGTTTGTTCTCTTGTCTGTCCGCAGGATATCAATACTCTTCTTTGTCATTACAACCTAAAGGCATTAATTTTTCTGCCATATTTGGTTATAGTCCAGCTTTCAGATGCATAACAACTAATTGAAATGACCATACTTTGGATCAGATATACCTTACTTAGTCTTTAGGCTGGCATCATTGCTCTATAGCACTCTGGAGAGATCCTTAAAAGCAAGTTTTCCTAATGTAACTCATCTGTTGAAGTGATTTCCTAGTAGTGATTGTCGGGATAAGTAAGATGAAATCCTTAACAATTTTAATTCTTTCTCTATCACAATACTGCTCGTTGGCAGGATTTTTATTCTTTCATGATGAGAGTCAACCTATATTGAAGGCTATGGTCTTGACCTTCTTCAGTAAGTGCTTCAAGTCTCCTTACCTTCAACAGGCAAGGTCATATCATCTGCATAACACAGGTTGTTGATGAGTATTTCTCCAATCCTGATGCCTTCTTAGTAAAGTCCAGCTCTTCACATGGTGGCCTGGTGGTAAGGTGTCATGTTGCCACAGGCACATGATTCGCACCCACAAGCTGTTCCAAGGGAAAAGATGGGGGGGGGGGAATCCCAAACCTCTTGTGCAGTATATAATCTTTGAAAACCCATGAGAAGTCAGCTCTGAGTTGGCTCTTACTTAACAGTACATAACAGCAACAGGGGCATGAAGTTACATATTCCCAGAGATAGGTTTAAATGCTCACAGCTGAAAATCTTTCCCTGACAGTCTGTTACTTACAGAAAGTGTGTCAGCTTGTTCTTATGATATGCAAAGCCCTCTATGTTTGTGTTCTTCCTACCTCTTGAGCCTCATATCATCTGTAATATGAGTGAACCCATCCCTACAATTCGTATCCCCTTTTCTAACTAGATCACATGCATTCATTGGTTGACTTTATGCTGCTTATATTAAAAGCTTCATATCATTAGCACATTGAGACTTCACATACCTATCAGTAAGCATCTAATCACATCCCTATTGTTGTTGTTATGTGCCATTGAGTCATCCATGGCTCATAGCAACCATATACAATAGATCTGAGTCCTACCCTATTGTGAGTCACTGTCATTGACTCCACCACACCTTATCCTGTTACCCCATTTACCATATCAGTCCATTTCACCTGGAATCTTCCTCTCCTACTCTGTCCCTCCACGTTTCCAAGCATGATGTACCTCTCTAAGAAATGGTCCCTCCTGGTCATGTGCCCAAAATATGTGAAACAGAGCTTCAAAATCCTAACCTCCAAAGAGAAACTTAGTTTCAGTCTTTCCAAGATAGACCTGCTTGTTCACCTAGTGGTTCAGGTTATGTTCAATACTCTTCTCTAGCACCAAAATTCAAAGGCATCCTTAGTCATTGTCCAGGTCCCTGACGCCTAGCAAGTCATTGTGTCTACAACGGCCTGGATCAGATGCACCTTAGTCCCTAGACATTATTGCTCTTTAGCACTTTGGAGAGGTCCCTAACAGAAGACTTCTCCAATGCAAATTGGTCTGTTGATTTCCTGACTGCTGTGCCAAGAGTGTTGATTGTGGAGCTGAGCAAGCTGAAATTATTAACAACTTGAATCTCTTCTTGATCCATCATGGTGCTCCCAATTGGTCCAGTGATGGAAATCTTTGTCTTCTTGATGTTAAACTTTAATTCATATTGAAGACTACTTGACCTTCTTGAATCCCTATTACATGATAATTTTAAAAAAATATCTCTTCATTGAAAAAAAAAACACAAAAACAAACCTCAACAATATTGCTGTTGAATTGGAACCAATTTGTAGTTGTTCTTTCAGCAGTTTTTTGAGGAGCTATAAATCACATGGGATATTTCTGATTTTTTTTCTCCCTCATAAGGCCTCTAATGGATTCAAACTGGCAAAGAGGCACTGCTATTCATGTAAATGCATATTTTCAAGACTTTCCTTATGAAATCTTCTTTTCCTCTCCCCTCTTTACTTTCAAAATTGTATTTATCATTTCCCTTTGACAGCTTTCCCTGATTGCATAGCCTAGACTACTTTTTCTTTAATGTTTAATTGTGTTCTTTGCAAATCTGTACTTTTGCATCTATATTTCATATAGAAACACAAATCAAATTGTAAATTTCTTAAAATGGACACTGAGTTATTAATCTTTGTTCCAAAAATTTTAATACATTGACTGACAGATGTTCAATGTATTATTGTTGAGGAAATAGAGAATAGGCACATAATTTAACCATAGTTTGTTCTATAGACCACTAAATTGCATCTGTTGAGTGAAAATATAGTAATTTACTAGTATTCTGTTCTTTCTATACCTATTTCTAGAAATAGAATCAATTTCTTATTAATATTGTTGAATTGAGTATGACTCAGCTATCCAATGAACAGCAGATCTGAGACCTGTCCTTTCTTGTGGCAACTTTACAAACTCACTCAAACCCATTTCTTTAATCACTGTGTCAATTCACCTATTTCAGAGTCTTCCTTTCCTTTGTCAACCCTCCAATACCTCTCCTTTGTCAAACCTCCAGTGCCTCCCAAAATATGCCGGAGGAAGCTTCAGAATCCTTGCCTCCAAGGAGCTGACTAGTCTCACCCTTTCTAGGATGAACTTGTTTGTTCTCCTAGCAGTCTATGGTATATTCAATACTCTTCTCCAGCACCACAGCTCAAAGGCATCAATGCTCCTTCTATCATCCTAGTCATTGTCCACCTTTCTGATGCATAACAAGTAATTGCAAAAACCATGGGATTGATCAGGCACACCTTAGTCTCTAGACTGACATCATTGCTCTTCAGTACTTTGGATGACATAGTTGACAGTTGTTATCTTTTCTCTATCTTTCATAGTGTTGTCTAAGGTCCAATGGTGATAATTTTTGTTTCCTTGATGTTGATATGGAATCCATATTGAAGGCTTTAAGCTTTGTTCCTCTCTAGCAAGTACTTACATCCTACTCACTTTCAGCTAGCAAAGTTGTATCATCAGAGCAACAGTTAGATGTGTATGTTAACTATTGTTGTGTACCATTGAGTAAGAACTGACCCACTTCTGAACCTCCAACAGGTTTTCAGATACAGTATATCACATGGGAAGAGACTGACCATTTTTCTCCAGTCAAACAGCTGGTGGATTTAAACCACATGTCTTTGGGATTGTACCACAACTTCTTACCACTAGGCCACCATACCTCTCTATATTAACTACACACACACATACACACACACACACACACACACACACAAATACACACACTATAAAAGGAGCAAAGGTAGTGTGGAGGAGGCCAAACCCAACCACAATTAACTCCACAAAAAGAAACTGTCTCAATCAATAATATACTCAAAGGCTTTTGACAGTGTGGATCACAACAGGCTGTGGCTGATTCTGAGAAGAACGGGAATCCCAGAAGATTTCGCTCATGCGAAACCTATGTTTGAACCAAGAGGCAGTCATCAGAACAGAGCAAGGAGACACTACATGGTTCATAATTGGGAAGGGTGTCTACCAGGGATGAATTCTGTCTCCATAGCTTTTCAATCTCTCTGCAGAACAGATCATCTGGGATGCTGGGCTGTACAAGAAGAAATATGTAATCAGGAATGGTGAAAGATTTGTCAACAACCTGCGTTATGGAAATGAAACAACCCTGATAGTGGAAACTGAGGAGGATCTGAAGCACTTTCTGCAGAAGGTCAAGGGCCACAGCCTTCAGTATGAATTGAGGCTCAATATCAAGAAAGCATAGGTTCTCACCACTGGGCCAGGTGTCAGCATTATTATGTATGGTGAGAGATTGAGATAGTTAACAGTTTTCGTTTACTTGGCTCCACAGCCAGCACTCTTGGTACCAGCAGCCAGGAAATCAAGAGACAAATTGCATTGGGGAAGTCAGCTGTCAGGGACCTCACAAAGTACTGAAGAGCAATGATGCCAAGCTGGAGACTAAGGTGTGCTTGATCCAGGCCATAGTCTTTGCAATTGCATGCTATGTATCAGAAAGCTGGATAGTGACTAGGGATGATAGAAAGATAATTGATGCCTTTGAGCTGTGGTGCTGCAGAAGAGTGTTGAATATACCATTGGCTGCTAGGAGAACAAACAGATTTATCCTGGAGAGGGTGAAGCTGGGTTACTCCTTGGGGCAAGGATTCTGAAGCTTTATCCGGCATACTTTGGGCATGTTGCAAGGAGGGGACCAGTTCTTGGAGAAGGACATCATGTTTGGGAAAGTGGAAGGACAGTGCAGGAGAGGAAGACCATCAATGAGACGGATCAATTCAATGAGTGGGGTAATGAGAGTGGGTGTAGCAGAGACAATGAGCTTGGCACAGGATAGACCAGGGTTTAGGGCTCTTGCACATAGGGTCTCCATGAGTTGCAAGTGACTCAAAGGCACATAACAACAACAACTAAACAAATAGCTACAAGGTCAGACATGACCCCCACGCTCCTGCATCTTTTTCTACTAATAACTGAGCCCAATGTTCATTGCAAATTTACTCACAGACTTTACTCACAATGGTGGGGTTTATTAGGGAAATAGGTTGCAGAATGGAAAAGGGAAAGGTTATCATATAGTAAAAGTCCAGGCTTACTGAACAGCAGCTCCAAGCCAGATTAACAGCAAGACAATTCTTCAATTAGTTCAGACAACTTCTCAGTCAACAAGTAAAAGTCCATGTTCGGTTCAGCAGCACAAATGCAAGAAGCCTCTGGTTTCCTCAATCATCCAGCAAACTTTGTCTCACAGTAATGACAACTCAGCTATTCCTTCAATTCTCCAGTAATCAGAAGCTTTAACTCTGGCTCTGTCCCTAGGATTCTGTCAGACTATACCTCCCCAAAGTCTCTGCATAGTCTGACCGGCTTTCCCTCTATGTTGTCTCCATAGTTATTGATGATGCAGAATATGCTGATCAACAGTGAATGATATGTCTGCAGGTGAGGCAGTTGGAGACTATGCCTCTGGAGAAGGCATTTTCAAAAATTCTAACACCACACACTCACACTCACACCAGCACTCAACACTCACTTACTCTCACTGACATAGAGTCAGTTCTGAGTCATAAGAAACCTTCATTGTGTTTCTAAGGCTGTAAATCTTAATAAGAGGAGACTGACATTTCTTCGTGCAGCTGCTAGTGAGTTGAACTGTCAGTAACTCAATCTTTGGGCATCAGCACCATGTTGTTAAATGCCATCAAGTCATAGATGACTCATCGTGACCCTATGAATGAAAGACCTGAACACTTGTATAACTTTCATCGTTTTTCCAAGTTCAAAGGGCTTCCAGAGGCAAGTTATTTCAGAAATGGATGCCACTCCTGCTTCCAAGCTTGTTTTAATCAAGGAGCTCCACCAAACACTGTCCACCATAGGTAGCCATTATCGCATTTGACACATCAGTGTCACATTGTTCAACAATCACAGTAACCATGAGTTACCTCTGTACAGCAAATGGACAGACCAGTGTTATTCCACTTAGAAGAATGTTTGACCAAAATCAATTAAAACCAGGCCTGAAGGCTGCAGGCTGGAGAGTCTAACTGCATTTTAAACTTAGGCAAGGTTCAAACTCAGTGAGCTCCATCATTTCACATTCCTCCATAATCAAGAATTCTTATTGGCTCTCCCCACCCAAAAACACCTGGGAGCATTCCGTTGCTTCCCCAATGTCCTCCTATTCTGATGCCACATGTTTCTTCATATAGTGCAACTTCTTGAATTATTTGTTCAGCATATAGACGGAATATGCTTGTGGAAAGGTTCAAGTGTTAATAAACATCTTTCTGGATTTTAATCCATTGTATATTCCCCTGCTCTGTTTGCATAACAGCTTCTGGATTTAGGTATAGCTTGCATGTTGTTGTTATTGACTGATTACCATCGAGTCATGAATGACTCATAGCAACTTCATGAACAAAAGACCTGAGGGCTTTCTATAACTATAGTTTCTCCAAGTTCATAGGGTTTCTAGAGACATGTAGTTTAGGAAGTGGATGCCATTTCTGCTTCCCACTAAACACTGTCCAACAGGAACAGTTATTATGACTTTTGAAACCCCAGTGGTAAAAGTTTGAGCATCACAGAAACCCAGATAACCTCAGCACAGCAAATTGACAGAAGAGTGCTAATATTCAATTTAATAGTCAGAGTGTTCGCAATAATATTCTGAAATGCCACTTATACATTGTGTTGTTGTGTACTATAGAGTTGGAACCGACCCATAGCTGACCCTCCAACAGCTTTTCAGAGGCAGTTAATTGCACAGAGGGTGATTTCTCATCTTTCTCCCAGAGAGCAGCTGGAGTTCTTGAACCACATGCCTTCAGGATTGCAGTGCAGCTTCTTGCAACTAGGCCACTAGAATTATTTTCCTCTAGTGGAAATATTTTTCCTCTCCACTTTTACTTTATCAACTTTTTTTAAAAGATAGGTAGTTCTCCAAAGGATTATCTGAATTTTCCAAATGGTCAATATATATTTGCACATTCCTACCACCCTGTATTTTTTTTCTTCCCTAGAGTTTGTGTAAATGATATTTCAGTGAACATTTGTATACCTATTCAATGTTTCTTTTTTCCACTGACAGTGCTAATTACAAGAGTAGAGTGCATTTCTATTTCAGCAATCTACCTCTTGTGCCTAAAGGCATTCTTTTTACCCATTCATTCATTCATTCAACAAAAACTTATTACTCAGTTAATAAATAGAGTCAGTGTTCTCAGAAATGGATAAGGCAGGGAGTAAAATAGACATGTCTCTGCTCTTAATTAGTTTTTATTTCTAAAAGAAGAGGCAGAGCATAAACATGAAAACATAAAATGTTATATTTTGGTCAGTGATAATAATACTAAAAAAGGAAGGGCAATGGGAAGAACAAATTTCAAGGGCCTTATTTAAAACTGAGAAGTCACGGAATGCATCTTTGGGAAGATGCTTTTCAGTTGGTTTCTCAATAAATATTTATGGAAGGAAAAGAAAGCAGAATGGGAAATTATGGTGTTTATGTTCACTTTATACAAGATTTTGTTTTGTTTTACTCATCCTCCCTTAGACGTAGCCTTCTTTTAAAAAGTCTTGGAATTTTAATGTCTTTGATATGGATGCCAGGCTATACCTAATCAACATGTTCAGTGAAATGATGTGGTAGCTATGTAGTAGGTGCTACTATTGTGCAATATCTACTGATCTATTCCTTTGACACTCAATAACCTCAGGGGTAAAAGACATTATATAGATTTGCATCATCCAAGACGCTGGGCTTTACGAGGAGGAATGTGGTATCAGGATTGGTGGAAGAATCATCAACAACCTGCGTTATGCAGATGACACGACCCTGCTTGCTGAAACTGAGGAGGACCTGAAGCGCTTGCTGCAGAAGGTCAAGGATTGCAGTTTTTAATATGGATTGAAGCTCAACGTCAATAGAACAAAGATTCACACCACTGGGCCAATTGGCAGCATCAGTATGGATGGTGAAGAGATGGAGATAGTTAACAGTTTTCGTTGACTTGGACCCACAGTCAACACTCTTGGTAGCAGCAGCCAGAACATCAAGAGATGACTTGCCTTGGGAAAGTCATGCTGGAGACTAAGGTGCGCCTGATCCAGACTATAGTCTTTGCAATTACATGCTATGCATTGGAGAATTGGACAGTGAATAGGGATGATAGAAGGAGAATTGATACCTTTGAGCTGTTGTGCTGGAGAAGAGTGTTGAATATACCATGGAGTGCTAGGAGAACAAAAAGCTTTTCCTAGAGAAGGTGAAGTGGAATGCTCCTTGGAGTCAAGGATTCTGAAGCTTCGTCTGACATACTTTGGGCATGCTGCAAGGAGGGACTGGTTCTTGGAGAGGAACATCATGTTTGGGAGAGTGGAAGGACAGCACAGGAGAAGAAGACCCTCGATGAGATGGATCGATTCTGTGAGTGGAGTGGTGGGAATGAGTGTTTGAGATAGTGAGGTTGGCACAGGATAGAGCGGTGTTTAGGACTCTTGTACACAGGGACTCTATGAGTCGCAAGTGACTCAATGGCACATAACAACAATGAGACCCTCAATGAAAATTTTGAATGTGCTATATAGAAATGATAGAGGAACCTAACAAGCTGTTCACTGGATGCAACAGAAATACAAAGCAACAGCAAGAAGAAAGTGAAGTATTTCTTGTTTATTGTTACCTCTAGTAGCTACCCTGAATGTAAGGCATGAACCAAGCTTAGATTCTTGCTAGTGTAAACCAGATTATGTTATCACAGGACCCCTAGTAAAGGGATGTGTTTGGGAAGCTCCTGATGCTAGGTTAAGTTTAGATTCTTGCTTGCTAACCATTAATATAGCTTCCAGGCTCAGAGTCATTTAAAAAAAAAAATGTTATGCTGAAATCAAATGAGGAAGAAAGCTGATCCTCAACGGAGAGTGAAAAGATTGAAGAAGGCGGTGTCAAGGAACATGGCCCAACAGGGTGAAACCTTTAAGTAGTTACTATTAAATGGAGTGAATAAAACAAATATTGATAGGGCAAACAAAAGGTGGAAAAAACAGAAGCGCGAAGGGACTTGTCCCAGCAGAATAGAAACCTTTAGAAGTTTACTAAAAAATGGAATGAATAAGGGAGATATTGATGAAGTTGAAACAAAGGTCTTGCTACAGGACCATTTGAGGTTAGTTGATTCTATAGGGTCCCCTGCTGGCCCTCTCAACTTTAAAGGACCATAAACAAGCCTGTTCAATTCATTTCAGGAATGTTTAAAAAAACCTAAAAGGCAAAGATGACAATGAGAAATCTAACCTGGAATTTTCAGAGACTGTTCCAGCTGTTCAGTCAAGATAAAGATGATGAAGTACTGTGTGTCTTGGTTCAACTTCATGCTGGTGACCCAAGACCT